TTCATATGCTTATTTAACATCCATATATGTTCTTTGGCTTAGGAAAATGTGGTATGTATATACAACAGAATATTACTCAACCATGCAAAGGAATGAAATAGTGCCATTTGCAGCAACATGATGGACCTAGAGAATATTATACTTAGTGAAGTAAGTCAGACAAAGAAAAACAAGTACTATATGATATCACTTATATGTGGAACCTAAAAAATAATACAGATGAATCTATATACAAAATGGAAACAGACTCACAGACATAGAAAACTTAGTGTTACCAAAGGGGAGAGGGAAGAGAGAGGGACAAATTAGGAGTGGGATTAACAGGTATAGACTACTGGATATAAAATAGATAAGCAACAGGCATTTACTGTATAGCACAGGGAATTATATATAATATCTTACAGTAACCTGTATTAGACTATAATCTGAATCACTATGCTGTATACCTGAAACTAACACACTATTGTAAATCAACCATAATTTCAATTTAAAAAATTGAAATATGCAAGAATTACCAAAGTGTGACACAGACATGAAGTGAGCAAATGCTGTAGGGAAGGTGGCACTGACAGACTTGCTTGGTGCCGTGTTACTACAAAAACCTTCAATTTTTTTTAAAAACACAGTATCTGCAAAGCACAATAAAGTGGAGCACAATAAAATGAGGTTGCGCACATAGGTCTTTGCTTTGTGATACTAAAGGCTTACATAGAATATCTTATAACAGTCTATTTTAAGTTGATAACAATTTAAGTTTGAAAACATTCTAAAACTCTATACTTTTGCTGCCCCCTCCCATGCTTCTGATGTCACAATTTATATCTTTTTATCTTATATACCCATTTACAAATTACTGTAGCTATAATTATTTTTCCTATTTTTTGTCTTTCAACCTTCATACTTGATTTGTAAGTGATTTACCCACCAAATTTACAACATTAGATTGTTCCAAATTTTTCCTGCAGATTTACCATTAACAGATTTATCCTTTTTTATGTTTTTCTGTTACCTTTTGTTTTGCTGAAAGTTCCTTCAGTGTTTTTTGCAAGGCAGGTCTAGTGGTGATGAACTTCTTTAGCTTTTGCATGTCTGGAAAACTCTTTTTCTCCAATTCTGAAGGATAGCTTTGCTGTATAGACTATTCTTGGTTGGCGGGGTTTTTGTTTGTTTTTATTCAGCACTTTGGATAAATCATGCCACTCCCTCTAGCCTGCAGAGTTTCTGCTGAGAGTCTTATCAGGGTTCCCTTGTACGGAACAGGTTGTTTTCTCTTCCTTTCTTTAAGATTCTCTTCTTGTCTTTAACTTTTAACACTTTATAATGTGCCTTGGTGTGGGGACTTGTTGGGTTTCTCTCTTTTGGTACTCTCTGGGCTTCCTAAATCTAGATTTTGGTGGTGTTCCCCCACATTAGGGAAGTTTGTAGCCATTATTCCTTCAGATAAGTTTTCTGCCACTTTCTCTCCCTCTTCTTCTTTTGGGACTCCTGTAATACAAATGTTGTTGGTCTCCTTGATGTCATCCTATAAGTTCCTTAAGCTGTCTTCATGTTCTTTTTTTTCTTTCTTTTTGTTTCTCTGATTGGATGAGTTTTACTGCGCTGTCCTTATGTTCACTAATCTTTTTTTCTCTTCATCTAGTCTACTGTTGAGCCCCTCTTTTGTATTGTCCAGTGCAGTTACTGCACTGTTCAGCTCTGTGACTTCTGTTTGTTATTTCATTATGTTTCCTCTCTCTTTGTTGAAATTCTCACTTTGTTCATCCATTTTTCTCCAGAGCTAGGTAAGCATCTTTATGATCAGTGTTCCCTCTCATCTCCTTTTTGATTGATTTCTTCTTTTTCTGAGGTTTTTATCTTGTTCGTTTGGAACGTATTGCTCTGTTTCTTTGTTTTGTGTGACTCTCCTGTGTTGGGTCCTATGCATTAGATGGAACAGCCACCTCTCCCAGTTTTGAAGGACTGACTCATGTAACCTTATCATTCAGCCCCGCCCTAGATCTTGGTTGTCTCAGACTCTTGCAATTATCCGAGATTATTTTATTTTAAGTGATTTCCAGTATTTGAGGGTGTGCCAGACCTGTTAGTGCCCCAAAGGGGAGGATCTCAGCCAGCACCCAGATTCAGGCTGATTGGAGGCCAGGCCCTCAGGCAGCAGCTTTTGAAGTATTCAGTACACCTTTTTAAGAAAGACCGGGAAATAGGTGTTTCTGTCTGCTCCTTTGTGCTGAGCCCTGGGGTGATAGCCAGTTAAGAACTGTTTCATTCTTTGCTATTGTCCCTTTGAACCTGTGAACGCAACCTTGCTGGCCATCATAGCCAGGCTGTCAAGGAACGTGCCCTCTGGGCAGCAGACACAAAGCCGGGGCCCCAGACGTAAATACACTCCTTTCTCAGAAACGCCAGTGTCCTGAAGTGGGGCAAAGGGGGAGTGTGAAGATAGCGCCCATCATCCTCCCCAGTTTCCGGAGAGGATGCAGTTGGGCCCTAGATGTGAGCTTAATCAGAATCAACTATGAGGATAAGCTAGTATGCCTCTTTCACAGATACTGGTGACCTGGAGCAAAGCCAAGGGAGGGCACAGAGATGGTATTCTCCAGCCTTCATTCCTGGAGAGTGTCTCAGTAGGCCTCTAGGTACGTGTTAAACAGAAGCCTGCCCCTCAGGCTGAAGCTTCCAGACAAGCAAACAGGCGTTTTTCACAGAAAGACTAGGGGTGTGTTTCAGTCTCGTGACTGTGCTGTGCTTTGGGGGTGGTAGCCAGCCAAGACCTGTCTCTCAATTTGTTACAGCCCCTTGGGACCCATGAACAAAGGCCCCACTGGTCACCAGAACCAGGTGATTTGGGTGGTGTCCCCTGGGCAGCAGCCACCAAAATTGGGGTCTGGAGTGGTGTAGATTAATGCCACTGTGGTCTAAGAGCATATTTTGTATGATTTCTGTTCTTTCAAACTTGTCAAGACGTGTTTTATGTCCCGGAAGGTAGTTTGTCTTGTTGAGAGTTCCATGTGAACTTCAGAATGTTTACTCTGCTATTGGTGGATGCAGTGGTCTGTGGCTTTCAGTAGGGCCAATTGTTTGATGATTCTATTCAATTCAGTTCTGTCCTTCCTGATATTTTGCCTCCTAGAACTCTTGTACTACTGACATGCACTGGATGGGAGATGCTGATGAGTAGAAATGGATTGATCTATTTCTCATTGTATTTTTATCAGTTTTTGCCTCATGTATTTTGTCACTCTGTTATTAATGCACATATGAAGAATTGCTGTATTTTGGAGGTTAGACTCCTATATATAATTTCCTCTTTATCTCTGAGATTTCTTTGGTCTGAAGTCAGCTTTGTCTGAAATAAACATGCTCTTCCAGCTTTCTTTTGATTACTGTTGGAATGGTATGTCTTTCTCCATCCTTTTACTTTAAATTTGTGTCTTTATATTTACATCTTTTATTTTATGTCTTGTAGACAGCATATAATTAGATTTTAAAAAAATCTGTTGTTCTTCATCTATTTTATATATAGTAGTTAGTATCTGCAAATCTTGAACTCCCAATTTATCCCTTCCCACCCCCTTTATCCCCTGGTAACCATAAGTTTGTTTCCTATGTTTGTCTGTTTCTGTTTTGTAGATAAGTTTGTTTGTGTCTTTTTTTTTTTTTCAAGATTCCACGTTAGTGATATATGGTATTTTTCTTTCTCTTTCGGGCTTACTTCGTTAGAATGACAATCTCCGGTTCCATCCCTGTTGCTGCAAATAGCATTATTTTATTCTTTTTTTTTATGGCTGAGTACTGTTCTACTGTATAAATATACCACATCTTCTTTATCCAATCATCCATTGATGGACATTTAGGGTGTTTCTATGTCTTGGCTATTGTACATAGTGCTACTGTGAACATTGGGGTGTATGTATCTTTTCAAATTGGAGTTCCCTCCAGATGTACGCCCGGGAGTGGGATTGCTGAATTTTATGGTAAAATAGTCCTGTACAGCTTGTGCAGCATTTATTGCAGACTCAGTTTCTCCATTCTCTCTGACCCATTTCATGGAGCTTGGAAGTTATTCAGAAGTTAGAGATCAGACAACTTGGCCTTATGTGACATGCTAAAAAGACACAACAACTTCAACCTCCACAAAAACCCTATACACAGTGAGCCTCAGGGCTGCTCCTCACCAGTTTTTAGCACATGTAGGCAGACCTACTGAAATGATAAATGATGAAAGATCTCTTCAGTCAAACCCTGAGCGTGTACCCTGGCCCTTGCTAACCTTGAGGAACAGGTTGAGAGCTGCATATCTACTATATATAAAATAGATAAACAGATTTCTTCTGTATAGCACAGGGAACTATATTCAATATCTTGTAGTAACCTATAATGGAAAAATAGGAAAATGAAAAAAAATACATAAAGGTAAAAAAACTTACCAGAAAAAAAAGAGTATTTTAATGTAGCCAGTTGCATCTGGCTACTTCTGAGCACCTGGAGTACCTCAGGCCAGTATGGTGAGGTGACCCTTGTTGCAAGGTGGATTTCCACAGGCCTCCTGGACTCTCATGTCTGGTGATGGGAATAGAAGAAAAAGCTTCCAGTTCTTCACTGTGCTTTATTTATTAAAAACTCAGGCAGACTTGACCCCATACATCATGGTGTGCTGCGTTAAATGGTAGGTAATAGGTAAGGAGGTGAGTTTTTCTCACGAGAAATTGATGTGCTTAAAATGACATTTGTTTCATTTTTGTAGCATTTCTGTCATTTCTCCAAGGTGCTCTAGACCCTGCCATTAGAGAGCAATGACATTTCAAGTGACAGTAAAGATGCATAAATAATTTGCACGTGTTCATTTTGCTATTAAATTTATGAGTAAGTTTCTGATGACCAAGACATTAATCTAAATGTTTGAAGATGACAGAATCATACATGACCTTCCTGTAAATTGAGTATAAATCCCCTGTGCTGTCAGAATCACACATCTTACTTAAATCACAATTGGGATGTTTTAGGACTCAGTGACCTTTGAGGATGTGGCTGTGAACTTCTCCCTGGAGGAGTGGGCTTTACTGGATCTTTCGCAGAAGAAGCTTTACAGAGATGTGATGCAGGAAACCTTCAGGAACCTGGCCTCAGTAGGTAAGGATGACAACATTCCTTCACTTCTTCAATTAGGGAACAAGTATTTCTTGCCCATCAACATTGTTCTATGATGTGGAATGTAGGAAAGGAGTCCCACAGTCCTCCCTTATCCATGGGGGATACGTTCCCAAACCACCAGTGGATGCTTGAAACTGCAGATAGTACTGATTTTTCCTGTACCCACATAGCTACAATAAAATTTAATTTAGAAATTAGGTGCACAGTCAGAGATTAATAACAACTGAGAATAGAACAATTATAATACACATGCACTTAACTTGTACAATGTAACTTTTGCAGTTTGAGATGAGACAGCAAACTAAGATCAGTTTCTTTTTTTTCACCATTTCACAGAAGATTCATTGTTTACTGTAGATCTTAGCAACGTCAGCATATGAATTTTTTTTTCTTCCCTTAAGCTGAGAACTTTGATCTTTTCACTTAAAGGAAGCATTTTTACAGATTCTCTTTGGTGTGTCTTAGTTGCCAGCATCACTGTTCTTGCACTTTGGGGCCATCATTAAATAAAACGAGGATTACCTGAACACAAGCACTGCGATACCACCACGGTGATCTGATTATCAAGATGACTACTAAGTGACTAATAGGCAGGTGGCATATACAGCACGGATACATTGGATGAAGGGATGATTCATATGCTGGGCAAGACATCACAGGATTTCATCATGCTACTGAGAAGGGCACACAGTTTAAAACTATGAATTGTTCATTTCTGGAATTTTCCATGTAGTATTTCAGACTCCAGCTGAGCACAAGTAACTGAAACCATAGAAAATGAAACTGGATAAAGGGGGGCTGTTGTACGTTGTTAAATAAACTATGCGTGGTCACACCTCATCATAGACCTAGAATCGAATCATTTTTCTATAATTTCTAATACTTTGCATTATTTTTCTGGGCTTGTATTTTAGGAGAAAAATGGGACAATCATAACATAGAAGATTGGAACAAAACCCAGGGGAGAAAACTAAGGTGAGTCACACTCACAGGAGACAGCAGTGTCCCACACGAGAATCCTAGATGTCATAAATTTTTAAAAACCAGCAAATAAAACAAATCTAACCCCAGCTTCAAATTTATTTATCCTTAAATTCCTTTCACCAAAAACATTTACTTAAATGTGACATAGATGTTCAGTGTTTACAACTTTATTCACTTTTGGAAACAATATTGAGAAACCCCATATGTTAACACTGTTTTCATTATAGCTACGGGTCAAATTTTCTTAAGAGCTTTCAGTTTATTCACCCTCAAATAATTCAAAAAGGGCAGAAAACCTTCACTTTTGCTGTAAAATATAAAAATGTATTATACTATAATATTCTAGTAATGTGAAATTGTTTGAGAAATCGTTAACAATTTCTCATTTTTTACAGAAGTCATATGGTAGAAAAACTCTCTGAAAGCAAAGAAGGTGGTCAACACGGAGAAACCGCCAGCCAGATCCCAAATCTTAATCTGAACAAGAAAACTCCTGAAGTAAAACCATGTGAATGTAACGTGTGTGGGAAAGTCTTCACGCGTCCTTCATTCCTTAATAGGCACGTCAGATCTCACACTGGACACAAACCGTATGAGTATCACGAATATGATGAGAAGCCATATAAATGTAAGGAGTGTGGGAAAGCCTTCAGTCACCACAAATCTGTTCACAGACATGAAAGGACTCACACTGGAGAGAAACCGTATGAGTGTAAGGAATGTGGGAAAGCCTTCACGTGGCTCACAACCTTTCGAAGACACATGATAATGCACACCGGAGATGGACCCTATAAGTGTAAGGAATGTGGGAAAGCCTTTAGTTGTTCCACTTCGTTTCGAGCACATGAAAGAACTCACACTGGGGAGAAACCGTATGTGTGTAAACAGTGTGGCAAATCCCTCAGGTCTCCTCTAGGTTTGCGAATACACGAAAGAAATCACACTGGAGAAAAGCCCTATGAATGTAAGCAGTGCGGTAAAGCCCTCAGTTGCCCCAGTTCCTTTCGAAGACACGAAAGGACTCATAGTGCAGAGAAACAATATGAATGTAAACAGTGTGAGAAAACCTTCAGTTCTCCTCTAGGTTTGCGAATACATGAAAGAATTCACACTGGAGAGAAACCGTACGAATGTAAGGAATGTGGGAAAGCCTTCGTTTCTCATTCAAGCATTCGAACGCACATGATAACTCACACTGGAGATGGGCCTTATAAATGCAAGGAATGTGGGAAAGCATTCATCTGTCCCAGTTCATTTCGATCACATGAAAGGACTCACACTGGAGAGAAGCCATACGAATGTAAACAATGTGGTAAAACTTTCAGTTGGCCCAGTTCCTTTCGAATACATGAAAGAACTCATACTGGAGAGAAGCCCTATGAATGTACAGAATGTGGGAAGACATTCATTTATCGCACAACCTTTCAAGGACACATGCGAAAGCACACTGGAGAGAAACCCTATAAATGTAAAGAATGTGGGAAAGCTTTCATTTCTCCCTCAAGTGTTCGCACACACATGATAATGCACACTGGAGATGGACCTTATAAGTGTAAAGAGTGTGGGAAAGCCTTCAACTTCCCCAGTTCATTTCGGATACATGAAAGGACCCACACCGGAGAGAAGCCCTATGCGTGTAAACAGTGTGGTCGGGCCTTTAGCTGTTACACATCCTTTCGAACACATGAAAAAACTCACACTGGAGAGAAACCCTATGAGTGTAAGGAATGCGGGAAAGCCTTCATTTATCGCACTACCTTTCGAGGACACGTGAGAATGCACACTGGCGAGAAACCATACAAATGTAAAGTATGTGGGAAAGCCTTCAGTCGTCCCAATTCCTTTCGAAGGCATGTACGGTCTCATACTGAATAGAAACCTCTTGAATATAAGCAGTGTGGGGAGAACAGTTGGCCTTCATTTTCACAAGTGGAAACTCCCACTGGAAAGAAATCTTATAAATATAAGAAATACGAGAACACTGTATAATGTTCTAGAAAACAATGACGTGAAAGAATAATTGTAAAAGTTATAAACCTATTGTCTGTTGTCAACATAAAAGAATAATTTTGAGTTATATTGTCTCATTATGAGTGCCTCATTCTTAAAGCAGATCTGTCAACTGTGGGTATTTACTGCTTACTTTCAAAAATGAACCTTGAGGTGAGAGAATTCTGTAAGCGCTCTAGGCAACACTATGTAAGATTACAGGTATTGTTTTGTTCTTAAGTCAGTTAACTTTTTTTTTTTCCTGTTTAGGAGCTTGTTTGATCCAGGGTTGAATTGACATGTATTTCTAATATGCAAGTTGTTTAATTTTTACATTTTGATTGTCCTGTAAGTGTAGGGCTATTGACACATGACGTTTTGGTATCTGTGGGGGTTTCCTGTTGGCCTCCTGTAGTGCTGGGTACTGGCTACCCCTCAACCGTTGTAGCTTCCATCTTTCTTATGAAAAAACCTACCATTGGCCAGAAGAGCCTCATTCTGTTTTCCTTGCTAGTAAAAGATGGCATAAAGTTGTAAATATGCAAAGTTTGTCATAGAGTATAGTCTTATGTGAATTATTTCCATCTTTTGCCCTTTGCTCTTTGTCATTTCTTCTGGCTGGGATTTGAATGAGACTTTGCATTAAGACAGACCTGTCACTGGACAATAAAATGTAGAAGATGGAGATGGCTCTCCTAAATTGTTTTGTCACCTGAGTAGTGTGACATTTTCTAGAGTCTGTTTCCTTTATGGTTGCATGTGAGAATTCACCTGTAGCCTCACTCACATGAGAGCTGCAATGCAGAAGTACGAGTGGCATTAGGCAGGTTTCGGAGCTACCATGCAGGGTGACAGGCAGGCGTAGGAGTTTAGAGGATACTTGCTTCCAGCCTGTTTTCCTGATTCCTTGCCCTGCCAATCAAGAGCATCCTTGAAACCACAATCAACTGGTTGACATCCCATTTTCTCAGAGGTGTAGGTTTCCACACATATCTTCACAAGCTCCACATCAAAGATACATCATGTTTTAGATTTTCCTGCAGGCTTACATGTGAACACCAGGCAACTAATTCAAACTTTCATAGTTTGGAGTATCTCTGATGCTTGGACTGCCATCTTCTCTAGATCGTATTCATGTAAGGTCTCATTTGTGTGGTAAACACCTCATTCTGGTAATGCTAGTAGTGACCACGTGTCCCGATTCCACTATGACAGGTACAGTTGAACAGTCCAAACAGTTGGAGTTTGTTCCTCTACTGCACCGTGCGGTGACTGCCCTGACCCAGTCCTTCCACGTGGGAATTGGCACCTTCCTCACATCAGGCCAGTAGTGGATGTTTCCCATTGCTCACAGCTGCACAGAATTCCTCAGTACATTTTCAGTTATGTTTATGATGAAAAATTGTATTTTTGTTGAGTAAAATCCGTGGTGGTTGCAGAAAATCTTCATTAACTGTTTCCATACAGTCTGCATACTAACAAATACTGTTTTTAATTTCCTGAGCACATGTAGTAAAATGTCCTGCTGTAACTGTGGATTTTTCAGATCAGCTTTGTAATTTGGTCAAGTTAATCGTTATACATTCTCACCCAATATTAACTTTGTATATACATGACTAGGTATTTTTTTCTCAGGTAAATTTTATTTTTTTATTCCTTTATAGTTAACAGTTTTTGTCTTGAAACGAATTTCTCGTTTGTTTTGTCAGTGTCATGTTGCCAGAACCCACCAGGATCACACCAGCAGCCAGTGAGAGTGGTGCCATGCAAGGCAGTACTAAGAATGCCCGCAAACCCTAAATGACTGGATTTATCAGCAAGAGGCTGCTCAAAAGGACTTGCATGATTTGGGCTTTTGCTGGATGAGCTGATTGCTATTCAGGGAAGCAAGATGTACTGATGCTGTGAGAAGGTGAAGTTAATTCTATCATAGGTAATCATAATTGTTTTCTGAAAGACAAAATGCAGTGGAGGCTAAATCTGATTCATAAGAAGCTTCAGTCTGTGAATATTAAGAGATGAGGAATCTTGGTCATTTTTATGATTTGGAATGATCTCTTTTACCATTTTTAGAGATTATGGTTTCAAAACACCCTTATTTTTGTCTTGATCCATTATGATCACTGAATAGCTTTGTCTGATGATAGAAGTGTTTGATGTTTTCCTCTTCAGCATGATAAAAAAAACAACCCAAGGCCAGCACCCAGTGCCCTGGGATAGCTTTTGCCTTTCCTACTCATTATCTAAACACTGATCTATTTCCTGTGGCGTACTGGGTGAACGCTGCTTACACAGAGTGTTGCACGGAAAATATACAATTCACTTCTTATTAACATACATGGTACCTTTAATATCTCCTTTATGACTCAGCTGAGGGCTATAAGTTTAGGTAAATTGTGAGAGAACACTTAACGTAGCAGGAGAGAAAAATAGGACCACTGTTCTAATTAAGCATTTCTTGCTCAGTGACTGTACTCTTGATGCCATTTCAATGTGCCAGGCACCGTAGATTCGGCACACACCCAACAAATAAGGCACTCTAGGATTTGGACACAGAGGCATGAAACAAAAAAGTTGCTGCAGTCCTGGTGCTCATATTGTTGTGGGAAGAGAGAGATGGGTTAACACATGTTAAAGCTTTGGTTTATAAGATGGAAATTAGAGCTTTGAGGGAAAGTAAATAGTGACATGGGAGAGAAAGGGCTGGGAGTGTGTGTATATCTTCCATGAGGGTAGGAGCCTCAGGGAGTGATGTCATTACTGATCCCTTAAATTTCCACTGCCTTGACACCGTTACAGGAACTGCGTGGGTGTGGAAGTAAACAGAGGACAGCAATGTAGGTGCTCCTGCTTTCCCTGAGTCACAGTGTAGATTCCCAACAAAGGTAAAGACACAGACACGTATCGTGCATCTTCAGTTTTGCAGTTCTCTATGTGCAATATGTGATCATGAGTTTAGATGTGGGGTTTTGGGAATTCAGACTTCCCAGTGATTTGGATCATGGATATTTGTGGCATCTTTCTATGTTTAACCTGACTTAAAAGGATTTTCATTTTCCTTTAATTATTTCAACTTTTACAGTATTTGGCATTTTCATTTTGCTTGTATACTGACTGACACAATATAAACTCCACTGAGCCCTGGCGTTCCCTCCAGTTTGAGAAGAGGCTGTGTTCCCCTGCACTGTTGTAGTCCATCCTGAGTTTATGAATACAGTGATATTTATGCAGGTCTCCCGTGATTTCCTGGTGGAAACACTAAAGAGCTAGATGTGTAGAAGGCAATTATCCAAGGAATAATTGAGGTAAGTGTCAGAGAGTGGCTATCATTTTGAGTAATATCCTAATTTAATGTAAAAGGAGATATGGGGACATTTTAATGCCTTTCTCTAAGAGGAGTAATTGGAAGCTTTTTTTTTTCATGACACACAAAGCCACAGCCCACCTTATTGTTCACAGGTATCATTTCCATATGCTGAGTGGACTTCCAGCACATATTCCGGCCCAGGAGGATACAAAAGTATCTGAGTTTTATTAAAGAGCAAGAGAAAGCCAAATGCTGTCCATTTTTAGTGCTAACTTGCATTTTCTTAGCGCTGTCAGCATTGTCATTTCATAATGATTAGTCTCTCCATGGATGCCCCTGCCGATCATTCCTTCCACCTTACAAACGAGAAGGTGAGCCGCGGTAGAACAGGGTGCTACCCAGACTCAGAGCTCACAGTAAAGGAATCTTTCAGATTCGAAGGCCTAATGTATGCCACCTACTTAACTGAGCACTGTCAAAATTTTAAATGCAGAAGAACACTGCAAGAAATGAGGCACTTTGAAACAAAATCATGGCATCAAATTTCATAAGTGACTCAAACGGCAATAAGTTCTATTTACAGTGAATTCTGGAAAGGCATGCGTAGCGACCTAGAACAGCTCGGCCGGTGGTGAAGGCGTTGGCAGAAAAGGGCATCACAGGAGTGTTCTCTTGAGGTGATGGACTGTTGCCATCTTTTGGTGGTTAGAATAGTATGAATAGATACTCAAACTAATTAATAGAAAACAAACAACAAAAATGCTTTCGCGTCACTAAGAGAATGGTGACCTCTGCCAAACCTTGATTTTACACGTGCAGTGGTTACTTCCACCGCCCCGTGGCGCTGTTTAGGAGGAACTTCAGGACCAGGAAGAAGGACTCAGTCCTCACCAAGCCTTTCTTGAAATTCTGTCTTAATTTGGGAAATGCCCTCTAGGGCTGCACCTGCCCTCACCTCACAGCAGGAGTGGGGAGAGACGGCTCCCAGGTCTGTCTTTTGAGTTTAAGTTAGGCTGCTGGGTCAGATCTCTGGAAGTAACATGGTTCTGAAACATAAAGGTGTATCCCCCAGTCTCTCCAAGGGGGTCTGCCTGGGAACACCTGATTCATGAGCATCGGCATCCTGTCTTTTCCAGGGTCACCTGGAAGCCATTTCCAGCTCTGCGTTTCCTCTGCATTGCCTGCCTCCTGGCAAACATCTTTAGCAATCCACACCTGTGCCCCTCTGGAAAAGTCCTCTGTGGCAACACCAGGGGGCCATGAGCTGAGAGGGTGAAGAAGCAGTGGTCGAACCCATGCCATGGGTACGCGGCCCTCAGCTGCAGCAATCCCAGCTGCCCCATACTCCTCCCTACTTGCTTACTTACAAAATACTTAAAAATCTACCAACTTCGGGGAAACAGAAAGATCTAGACTCTGACCAGTAACAGGCACTCCGTTAGTGTCACCCTCCCCACACGCCTACACCACAGGGGCTCTAGCAGCTGCCTCCTGCCTTCAGTCTCTAAACCACTCATGATGGCCATTTATAAACCAGGGCATTCTGGTGCAAGAACCTTTCTCAGCCTGGTGCCAAACACAATGAGAGCAGCCACTGCTGGCAACAGACACAGTCTTTCTGGAAACCGAGGTTCTCACAGACCCTGGGCTGAGCCAGTGTAGCCTTGGCTCCTCCTTTCCATTTTGCCTTGGATCATGACGTCCAGATCCTTCAGGCTTTTTTTTCTTTCATCACAGAGGCCCCCTTATTGAAAAGATAATAGTACCTACAGAATAGAGCCAAAAATGGGATCTCTGGCTTATCCCAGCTACGGGGGAAGTGTGTTCCCCTGCCTTCTGAGTAATACAATTGTTCTGGAGGAGGTCACCCTTTTCTAGACTCGCTGTCCTTTTGGGGGAGTCCCTTGGGATCACACGAAGGAAGAGTCAATATACTTTATAGACCATGTGCTGCTGCCACCACAGCTGATGGGAGTCTGTTGGAGAGATGCCAAGTTCTGTCCCCAGATCAAACAGGACATCCCTGTCGCTGATCAAAGGCTGCACCCAAGCATCAGCTCAGTCAGTCAAATTCCAGCGAGCGTGCCAGCACTACAGGATGCCCTGGCCAAGAGTCAGAGTCACCTGTGGACCTTCCCGGGTCTCCTGGCCATTGCCAGTGACCTTGCTGTCCAGTCCCACCAACAGAGACAAGAACTCTTTATCTAGCACCTTAGCCCTCCCTTTGGAATAAGGAGCTCTGCGGATATCTT